GAGTGTTGGATAATTCTTGCTGGATTTTCGACGAACAAACCTAATATATGAAAAACAGCATTTCCGAAAAAATGTTAAATATGGCCTATTGCATTGCGGATAACGATATGTACTTCGTGCTTAATTTTTGTAAATGCAACATATGTACATACTTATCTCTTATATGTAGGGCGATTTTTTTTGCATAAACGAATTCATAGGACTTACATCCAACTAATGGAAATATTTTTTTCTGCATGATTATATACATTAACTAAAAAACTACTGCTATACCTGTTTTTATCAAAGATCAAAATAATTTCGTTTCGTTTCAGAGCTAAATTAACGAAGCAAAACTCAATCGTTAACGTTGAAACGAAATAAATTATCAATCGTTAACATCGAAACAAAAGCTCTGATCCAATACTTTTCATGTAAAATCCTGTAAAAATGTCAAACAGCAAAATTACTATCTGAAGTGAGAGTAAAAAGTGAGTAGCAACAAAAAGTACGGGAACAAAAAAAGCATTTTTCCTGTAAAAACGTCAACCAGTGATCGCCTGACACTTTTCATGATTTTACCAGAAGAAAAAGTTCGGGTAAAATCTTGCAACTTCATTCTCTGCACAACTCTCCAAAAATCGCTCGCACTTACAGGATTTTGGAGGAATTCGGAGTACGGGATCATTTTTCCTGTAACTTCCTGCAAGTTCGTGTAAAAACCTGTAAGTTCATGGAGTACTGGATCAGAGCTAAAATGAATCAACGAAAAGTTGTATGTTTTATGCCATTGTCAGATCACTATTAACACCTTGCACCTAAATGCCTGCCACAGCTTCAGCATTAACGATTGAATTTCTTTTCGTTAAAAATCAAAAAAAAAACTATTTTGTTAATTACCTAAACGATAAAAAACTTAATCGTTTCAACAGAAACGATTGCTTTTTTTGGTAAACGCTAAAATTAGCGTTACAATGCATCCTTGGGTTTTGATCCGTACGATCCACTAGCAGTTAAATTTTCCTCTATGAAGTTTGAGTTAGCTCACTTTAGATCTAAATAGGTGTGCGATATGTTCACATATAATGTACAAGTTGTAACTGATCACATTTTCGGTTTTCTTAAATATTTTTAGCTGTCTGACCTCTATCCAATTACGAGATTAACACAGAAGATGGATAATGTACTAAACATATCTGGATCCACACACCCTAAGCCCACAGCTTTACAGCCCTACACAGTGGAACTAGTTACTGAAAATGATAAGGATGTTGTATTGGCTATGCTGAAACAATTTTTCTTCAAAGTAAGTACGAAACATACAAAATTAAACATTCTACTTTTGAAAGTTTTTACTTACATATGCAACTATGTATATTATTATGCTTCACAAAACAGTAGGTAATTCGTGAGATCAAGTACGCTGAAAATAAATATTGTTATTGGCGACCTTGATATACATACATAGACGGAATAAATGGTTTTAACAGTTATTGATAAGATTTAATCAGTAGAATTCTCCTTTCCGTGTTGCCGTAGAAGAGGGGTAGAACCTCTTTCTGGGTATGCTGCCTCCGGCCGCGCTTAGGGATTATAACCTATACTAAGTAGAATTCTCTCTTCTGTGTTGCGGGAGAAGAGGAACGGAACTTCTTTCTTGTTGATTGGTCTAATATAGAATGATATTTACTGAGAAAGTAATATAATAGAAAGTAGTAATAAGTAATAATAATACTGAATATATCAAAAAATGTTGGTCCCGAATCGTGTGTATCCATTGCAAAGTGCACCCACAA